GAACGAGTCCCCCGTTCCGTTCAATATTGGGCTCACTACAGTTCAGGACTCAAATGTCACGGTTCTTAATCTGAACCAAAGAGTCCAAATCCGGCAACTCGTTTTGAGAAAATAGATTTTGAAAGAAGTGCCAAACATGGACTGCTTTGCCAGATATAGAGTCGCCACCTAAATATTTTATTTTGGAAAAATTTAGGAAACCCTGACTTGTTGCCTAAGGCCACGTGTCCGTCATCACCAAAGTTGCCTCGGCTCGGGAACTTGGTACGATTGGGGAAGGTCACTTCGTGAGCACCCCCGCTCGCCCGATCAAAGATCGGCCTCTACTAACCATGATATCTATTTTTGAAAACATTATGTGTTCTTATTCCGGTTATTAGCCTAGATTTACTATGTGATGCGCACAGGATACAAGTATAGACTGGATCGTCTGAATTGGAACAAAACATTTCATGTTTGTTTGTTTGAAAATGGTTTGATGGTGCTACTCGCAAGTAGGCTAAGATGTGGATTTGCCACCCTCGGGTGGGCTTAGAAAACATGATTTTGCCACTATCTAGTGGGCTTAAAACACACATTTGATGAATTGTTCCAATTCAAATAACCCAACCTTCACCCACAGGCATTCAGGCAGTTATATCACATAAGCATATAGCCTCATGGTAAGCATGCTATTCATGGCAGTCACTCACACGCATGCAAGGATGCTAAAGCATAAAACTTACCGAGTACTCTAAGCCAAAACAGAAGCTAGGTTAGAAATCCATGCATGATCCTAACTATACAGAAATGCCTAATGTAACACATGAAAAATGCAACTATAACAGGCTCGACTATTCTAAACATGGCATATGAAATGCTACAGCTAGCATGTATTCAACTTGAAATTGAAAATGCAATGCAGTTAGTATGATGCGCCGAGCCCGGTGCATGCAAAACAGATGAATGAATGCAAACATGCTATCATACTGTATGCTAATTGAAACATGCCCTAATCTAACCATCATAAACGGGTAAATAAAAGGGAGAAAGACGTGGGGTTAGAAGACATACATCACACACACGCACACTTATTCAGAGGGTCCGAATAAATAATATACAGTCCCGAATAAATATTACAGTCCAAATAATTACAAAATCCTAATTAATTAACAAATTAAACTAGGTAAGCTATAAACTAGCATGCAAGCTAGGGACTGCCTCGACGCTGCTTCGGATGATGAATGATGCATGTCCGGGTTGCTTTGTACTGAAATCCACTGCGATGCCCCGGTTTGCCTCTGTTTGTAATTGTTCTTGGAATACGTGCCAAGCTCCGGAAGGCTGTCGATTTCTGATTTGCTGCAACAGAGAGCAACAAAGGGGCATGGCAAAGTATTTTCACATATGTATGCATGACTACTCTTCAGGGAGTGTAGTCCTCGGTCCTCGTGCCACCAATCACGCATATCGATGCATGATGGCCGAGGAGTCGAATTGCACAACTCAATATGAAATGAATGCACATATAAACACAACAAAACCTAAACTCCATCATGGATAATCCGGAGTGTCGGTGACTGAGGAATTGAGACACGTTCCATCACTCGGAGTACGAAACGCCCCTCGTTTCCCGTGCTCGGGCTAACTCCTATCCCCAACACGATGCAATATGCATGACATGCATGAAATGCAACTAAGATACAACCTATCATGCATAATGCTAGGAAATGGCATACATGATGCACGAGATAACATGGCATACACAATGCGCTAACATACGGCACACACAATGCTATGAAATGAAATGGCATACACAATGCACAATGGACTTACACAAACATGAGTGGACCTCAGCCACACTCACATCAGTAGCCATGAGATGAAAATGAGACACTCAAAATGCGTGCACACATGCACGCAAACCAAGGACCGATCGTAAGGCACAAATGCCACTCTAACAAGGCATGGCAGGGCATGGAACATGGTATGCAAAAATGCAAGTTTCAGCACTGAAATGTGATGCAAAATGATCCCGAAACATGGAAACATGGCACCCGATGCATGAAATGAGACCCGAAACATACATGATGCACGAGATAACATGGCATACACAATGCGCTAACATACGGCACACACAATGCTATGAAATGAAATGGCATACACAATGCACAATGGACTTACACAAACATGAGTGGACCTCAGCCACACTCACATCAGTAGCCATGAGATGAAAATGAGACACTCAAAATGCGTGCACACATGCACGCAAACCGAGGACCGATCGTAAGGCACAAATGCCACTCTAACAAGGCATGGCAGGGCATGGAACATGGTATGCAAAAATGCAAGTTTTAGCACTGAAATGTGATCCAAAATGATCCCGAAACATGGAAACATGGCACCCGATGCATGGAATGGCCCCGAAACACGAAATTAGGTACATGGAATGACCTATGGCTATGTAAAGCATGCATTATTTGAACATGAAGTGTGAATAGAGAATCAAGAAAGTCCCAAAAAAAGCATATTTACAATTTTAAGCAAGGCCAAAAAGTGAACACAAATAGGGCTAAGTTAACATGCAAAAATGGCCCCGTAAGAGAGGTAATGAAGCAAGTAGCAGCTGCTGACCCTAAATAGCCAAGAGCCCTTCAACAAAGTTTAAGAGGGGCTCAAAATGAAGTACTTTACATTTTACAACAAGCCACGGATCTAAACACAAACAGGCCTAAAACATTGTGCAAGAAATGAGCCAAAAAGGAGACAAAGAGGCAAGTGATGGTTTTTGGCCTCAAACATAGGAGAGCCATTCAACAAAGTTTAAGAGGGGCCCAAAACATGGTATTTTACAGTTTATGATCAAACCCAAAACAGTGCACATGCAAGCTAAAAATACTATGCAAAATAAGGCCTAAAAAGAGGTTTGAACACAAAGAGCAAAAAGGGAGCTTCAAACAGCAAAAGTTCCTTGATCAAACATGAAGAGGAGGTCAAAATAAGGCTATTTACAGTTCGTACTAGAGCCCAAAAATACAAGCACAAGGGGCTAACAAAACATGCAAAAATAAGGCCAAAAGATGGATAAAGAGGCAAGTGACAAAAGGAAGCCTCAAATAGTGAAGAGCCCTTCAACAATGTTGAATAAGGGCTTAAAATAAGCCACTTTACAGTTTATAACCAAGCTCAAAACAGTTTAAAAATAGGCCTAAAATACTATGCAAGAAAGATGCATACAAGAGAGGTAAAGAAGCAAGTGTAAAAAGAAAGCCTCAAACAGGGAGAGGCCCTTAAAAAAACATGAAAAGGAGCTCAAAATAATACTATTTTCAGTTAGGGTCGGAGCCCAAATATGCAAGCAAGTATAGCTTAGATTGTATGCAAAAATAGAGCCAAGAAGAGGAGGAGGAGACTTACCCTTGAAGAACCAATCTTCGACAGCCTTTGGACCAAGTTTGGGTGCTCCTAAACTTTGAAAAACAGCCTCAAGCTACTGGTATGGAGTATGGAGGCCTTGTGCTATGAGGTGTAGTGTAAAATGGTGTAGGATTTGAAGGATTTTGGTGCCTGGAGTAGAGAGGGAGAGAGATGTAATGCAAGAGCCTAAAACAATTTTTTGTAACGCTTGAAGCTGCTGGAATGGCCTGGATATATAGGCAAAAGAGGGGGGAAAAAGGGGGGGAAATGAATTCAAGTTTCCCCCCAAAAGTGCAGCCCCTCGGATACACAATCTGGGGGGAAACAAAATACATATTTGCAATGTACCAGAGGAGGGGATCACGGCCGGCCGGTTATTGAAGTTGCAGGTGGCCGGCCAGCCCTTCCCATGGCCGACCGGCCAAGGGTCAAGAGGTATTAGTGGCCGGCCACCCCAGATTGGTGGCCTCCCATGTGTACACAACACAACCATGTGGTCAAAAACTGGAGAAAGTAAACCAGGAGAGAGAAAAGCCTACTTTTTGGAGGGGTTCAAAAGGGAAAAACACAATTACTGGCCGGCCATGTGATATTGGTGGCCTCCCAGGTGTGTACAACACAAATATGTGGTTTAGGGCTGGAAAAAGTGGCCTTAGGGTGGTCAACATTGGCTTTCAAGTGAGAAAAAACGGGCGACAGAGGGCGATGGAGGAATAAAACTGGTTGTCAGAACAATTACTGGCCTCCCACCCTTCTAGACATTCCTATCAATGAAACAGAGGTCCCTGCCAAAAATGAACTCAAACCGATGCAAAATAGAGGTTCGGGGCCGAAACGCGCAGCCCGAGGGCCCCGAAAACTGACTGTTAGGCACCGGAAGTGGTGTTCGACCACGAAGTTGGTTTTTTTCAGACCACAGTGTCCCTCAAAAGGGAGCAATAAGATGCATGCCAAAAAACCGGAAGCAAACGGAGGTGATTAAGCGGTCCCGAACCGAGGCACACCACGGCCAACAGCTCCGAAAAATCGGAAAACCGGACTCCAAACGAGCAAAATGGCCTACGACCACGAACGTAGCCTATGGCCACTGAGAGATGATCTACGAGACCTCTCCCTCCCTTCGGGAAGAGAAACAGAAGAAAAAAGAGCCTGGTTCGCAAACCGAGGCAAAGCATGAAAAAGTCCAAGAAGTCTGGAGGCAAGGCTCGCAGCCGAGACTCTGAAACCTCTGAACGAGCACGATATGCAACATCACCAAGCGCCTCAATCGGTGATGTCTGAGTCTTACGGTCGGTCAAAATGGGTGTCTACAATAACCGAGGCCACTGATAAGAATAGCTTTGGCAGTATTCCGAGCTTGATGATGAGGCTGACCACTGGTGGGAGTTAATCAAAGAAACACTCGTGACGTAGAGAGCATATCATGGAACCAGTTCAGGGACTATTCCTAATAAATATTTTTCCAAATACGGTCCGTCGAGAGCGAGTCAAGGAATTCCAAAACCTGGACAAGGAAACATGACGTGACCCAGTATGTTGCAAAAATTTGAAGAACTAGCCCGTTACGCACTAGATTTGTAGCAAATGATGAAGAGAAGGCAAGGATGTTCGAGTGGGGGTTGGACCTTACAATCAGGGGAAGAGTTCTTCCGCAACGACTCCCCACATTTGCTGAGGTGCTGGATACGGCGTTAGAGTCTAAGAGAGAAGTAACAGACGCTAGAAAGGCTTGGAACAAGAGGAGAGGGAGTCAGACGTCTGTTGGACCTCAGGGGAACCAAAAAGGAAACATAACGCCAAATCCCTACTCCAGACCACAACCACAACAGCAACAGATCCAGAGAGGAGGCTATCAACAAAGGCCGACGGGACAAATCCAGTGCTTTCATTGCCAACAATTAGGGCACAAAAAGAGCGAATACCCCCAACTCCCTCCATCTAGGTACCAAGGAAGAGGTTCCGGAGCAAATGCCCAGGCATTAGGTGGGCAGAAGCCTTGGATGAATAAGACAGGATCGACTGGACTGCAGCACCAGACGAATGGGGGAACTCAAAACACCAAGACCAATGGCAACCAGAAGGCAACCGACAGAGTCTTTGCATTGCAAGAGGAAGAAGCAGACCCGTCTGTTATTAAGGGTAATTTAGTATTATACAATTCATGGGTACATGTCTTATTTGATACTGGTGCATCACATTCCTTTATATCCTCTACTTGCACTCAGTCATTAGGACTTGTATGTGAACCCTTAGAAACTGCCTTAAATGTAATGTCACCTATGGGAGGATGCATTCGGATAGGATTGATCTGTAAGGACTGTAAGATAGGAATGTCAAACCTACACTTAACGTGCAACCTTCGTGTCATGGAAATGTCAGACTTCGATATTATTTTTGGGCATGGACTGGTTGTCTGCCCACCGAGCAGTGATCAACTGTCATCAGAGAAAAGTGGTAGATCACACACTAGATGGAACTCGTTTCCAGTTTAAGGGGGATAGGCAAGACCACATGGCTTCAACAAAACATAGGACGCAGTGGTGCGATCAAATTGCAGGTAGGATAGCAAGTCTGATTTTGAATGAGGAAGGCCAAGGAGAATTAGAACTTCCGCGCATAGTATGTGAATATGCAGATGCATTTCCTACAGAGTTAACGGGATTGCCACCAACCCGGGAATTAGATTTGAGCATCGAGCTACAACTTGGAACCACCCCAATATCCATGGCCCCGTATCGTATGGCACCAGTAGAATTACGAGAATTGAAGACACAACTACAGGAATTGCTTGAGAGAGGATTCATTAAGCCAAGTATTTTGCCATGGGGAGCACCTGTGTTGTTCGTTAAGAAGAAGGATGGGTCGTTGAGGCTATGCATAGATTACCGTCTACTTAATCGAGTCACGATTAAAAACCGATACCCACTCCCAAGAATTGATGACCTTTTTGACCAACTTAGAGGCTTAGGGTGCTATTCAAAGATCGATCTCAGGTCAAGTTACCATCAACTACGAGTCAAGGAGGAGGACATACCAAAAACTGTCTTTCGTACTAGATATGGCCACTATGAGTTCGTAGTAATGCCCTTCGGACTAACCAATGCACCGGCAATATTCATGAGCCTAATGAATAAGATATTTAGACCATACCTCGATCAGTTTGTGGTAGTATTTATTGATGACATCTTGGTATATTCAAGATCTGAAAAAGAGCATGAGCAACATTTAAGGACTGTCCTTCAAGTTCTTAGGGATAATCGGTTATATGCCAAGGCAAGCAAATGTGAGTTCTGGTTGAATGAAGTAAAATTCTTAGGGCATGTAGTATCAGAGAATGGGATTGCGGTGGATCCAAACAAGGTGGAGGCAGTATTAGACTGGAAACAACCAAAAACTATGTCAGAAATTCGCAGTTTCTTAGGATTGGCCGGTTATTACCGGAGGTTCATCCAAGATTTCTCCAAACTAGCCAAACCAATGACTCGTTTGACGCAAAAAGGAGTAAAATATGAGTGGGACGAAGCTTGCGAAAAATCCTTTCAAGATTTCAAGAAGAGGTTAACTAGTGCACCAATTTTGACCATCCCAGAACGAGAAGTGAGGTATACTGTGTATTGCGATGCGTCTAAAGAAGGGTTAGGGTGCGTGCTCATGCAGAATGGAAAGGTAGTCGCGTATGGATCCAGGCAGTTGAAACCTCATGAGCGTAACTACCTAACACATGACCTGGAGTTAGCAGCCGTAGTTTTTTCCCTAAAGCAGTGGCGACATTACCTATATGGGGAACAATTCGAGATTTTCACAGATCACAAGAGTTTGAAGTATCTATTTACACAGAAGGACCTCAACTTGAGACAGAGACGATGGATGGAGTGTCTTGAGGATTTCCAGTTCACTCTCTCATATCATTCTGGTAAAGCCAATGTAGTAGCAGATGCTCTCAGTCGTAAAAGCAGAGGGATGATGGCTAGGATCTCCATCAAAGAGTGGGATATGGTTAAGACACTCAATGAGTTCAGGATCCAAATAGAATCTCAAGATGCAAACGCATATCTTAGTGCACAGAAGGTGATGCCTAAGTTGATGAATGAGATCATGGAGGCCCAGAAGCACGATCAAGAGATAGCCTATATCAAGGGACGTCTGGAATCAGGAGAACCCATACTCAACTGGGAAATTCACCTCGATGGGAGTTTAAGATACCGAGGTAGATTGTTTGTACCAGGTGACGAGTTATTTTGAGAAAAGGTACTTAAGGAATGTCATCATTCTGTATTTGCAATACATCCAGGAGGGACTAAAATGTACCAAGATTTAAAGAGGCAGTATTGGTGGAATGGAATTAAGAAGGAGGTGGCTAAATTCGTGGCAAAATGTCTAACATGCCAACAACTGGGAAATTCACCCCGATGGGAGTTTAAGATACCGAGGTAGATTGTTTGTACCAGGTGACGAATTATTTTGAGAAAAGGTACTTAAGGAATGTCATCATTCTGCATTTGCAATACATCCAGGAGGGACTAAAATGTACCAAGATTTAAAGAGGCAGTATTGGTGGAATGGAATTAAGAAGGAGGTGGCTAAATTCGTGGCAAAATGTCTAGCATGCCAACAAGTGAAGGCGGAGCATCAAAAACCAGGGGGAATGTTGCAACCTCTACCAATAGCCGAATGGAAGTGCGAGTACGTGACAATGGACTTTGTGACAGGTTTGCCTAAGTTGCTTAGAGGGCGCAATGCTATATGGGTAATAGTGGATCGCCTCACCAAGTAAGCACATTTCTTACCTTATAGGATGACCGTCACTTTAGAATCCATGTGCAGGCTCTACATTGGAGAGATCATTCGACTATATGGAATTCCAGTATCTATTGTGTCAGACCGTGATCCTCGGTTCACCTCTCGATTCTGGGGAAGCTTGCAGGAAGCTCTTGGTACTGAGTTATGTTTTAGCACCGCCTTTCAACCGCAGACGGACGGACAATCTGAATGTACCATCCAGACACTCGAAGATATGTTGAGAGCATGTGCAATGGATTTTCAAGGAAGTTGGGAACGACACCCACCCCTAACTGAGTTCGCCTATAACAATAGCTTCCAAGCTAGCATTGGTATGGCACCCTTTGAAGCATTATATCGACGACCATGTAGATCGCCGATTTGTTGGGCGGAAGTGGGAGATGCAAATCTGATAGGACCCGAACTTGTTCTAGAAACTACTGAGAAGGTCAAATTGATCCGACAACGGTTAAAGACTGCTCAAGACCGTCAGAAGAACTATGCAGATAGGAGGAGAAGGCCATTGATATTTGAAGTAGGCAATCACGTCTTCCTAAAGGTGCAACCTAGGCGTGGAGTAGTACGTTTCAGGAAAAAAGGAAAACTGTCACCACGATATATTGGGCCTTTTGAGGTATTGGAAATAGTGGGTGAAGTAGCATATAGACTAGCTCTACCTCCGCAGTTAGGACGTCTTCCATGTATTATGTTAGAGGAAATACATCGCCCTGAGTCAGCACACGTCGCATCAAATGGGCGAAATCAGTCTTGAAAAGACGCTACATTTCGGTAGCAATACAGGATAGCCGAGAGAAGAACCTTAGAGGCAAAACGGTTCACTTGGTAAAAGTGCTATGGCGTCATCGGGGAATTGAGGAATCTACTTGGGAACGCCAGGATTGGGTGAAGGCAAACTACCCCGAGCTTTTCGAAGGCAGTATGTGGTTGAATTTTGGGGACGAATTTGTTTTAAGGGGGATAGGTTGTGAAGCCCTGAAAAATGTTTTCTCTTTAAAAAAAAAAAAAAGTTTTAATTATTTGCTTAAAGCCCCTCAGTTATGAGAATTATTTCGAATCTTGTTGATTAATATTGTTTTTGTTGTTTTATCAAAACAAGAATATCCTTAATAGTGGCCATCCATATTCCAACTAGTGTCCATTCATAGTCTAACTAGTGTTCATTTAATTCTAGTTAGTGTTCATTTAATATCAATTAGTGTTTAGTGTTCATTTAATATCAATTAGTGTTCATTTAAATCTCAAAGTAGTGATTCATTCATAACCTAACTAGTGGGCTAGGGTCCTTTCATTTTTCAAGTAGTGGTTCCTTCATATCCTAACTAGTAGGCTATAATGATAACCTTTCAATACCAACTACACCAAGGTTGCCTATAAATATCACCAAGCAACACTCTCACACTTCCACATTCGACCTAAGGAGAGGAAAGAGAACAAGAGAGGAATTTTGAGAAGAAGAGGAAGGGAGAAGAGAGCCATCTTGTTCAAAGCTTAGCATGTAAGCCACAACACAACCTTCTCTTTCATTTTCCCTTTTTCAAATACATGTCTTAGGGTTCTAGATAATGTTTCAGATCTGTTATTTATTAGTTACTTGTGTTAAAAATGCTAAGAGTTGAGTATTGATTCTATCTCATTTGTATTTTCCCATCTCGGTACAAAACCATCTTTTTCTCCATATCAATCTCTCAACTTTCCAAGGACACACCTTCAAGCAAACTTTCTGAGTTAAATATATGCTGGTTAGCATGTTTTCTTCACAAAAGAAACGAAAACTTTCCTTTGGGTGGAACCCTTTTCTTATAAATCTTCTTGTTTTGGACATCTACCCTAGAAACTGTTTTTACAGCCCACTTTCAAAAATTCCAGAAAAATGTATAAAATTATTCTTGACCTCTATTTTAGGTCAAAATTTTCCTTAAGGAGTTAGCTTTCAAATAAAATTGGTTTCATTGGAAAACATTAAGCGGTTTGCAAAAAAATCAAATTTTCGTAACAATCGACGGGTCTGGACAGAATCTAGACAGCGCTAGAATGTTTTCTAAATAACTTAAAATCTGGAAAAGCAAACCCATTTCCGAAAAATGTTCTAGAAACTAGATCAAATTCTCTACGAATCATAGGAAGACCGAGTCCGGTGAAGGATCTAAACTAGCCTTTCATTTTAATCTTTATGTGATATTAAATCTGGAAATATTTGTTATGTATGGATGTTTTATGTCTTGGTATTCATGAAAATGTGTTATGATCATATCTTGGCAAGATATTTTATGTGTTATGTTATTTATCTTTCTCATCTTAAGGATGCATGTTTATGTGGGTATTATTATCTTGTAAGTTGGGCTAACCTTGACTTAAAACTTTTAACTCAACGGGAAATCTAATTGGGAGGGTATTGGGTTTTTGAGCACTTGAGTAATGGAAAGATGAGAAATTGTGTTATATGGTTGTTGGGATGCGTCCCTAATTGGAAGTTAAAGTCTTGCGCAAGTGGTTTTCGGAACCCTTGAATGGAGCAGTTGTATTCGGACCCTAGGTGATTTGGTGTGAGGAGGGTTTTGGGCAAGGCCCTATTTCACTGTCTCTTTTGAGGCCCTGCGGTTGGCGCTACGCGGTATATAACCGATGGTAGGCATCCGGGTTAGTTCTGCAACAAAGCAGCAAAAGAGGGGCATACCGAATAATCTGAGTCCGA